TAAGTATATTGTATTTATACAATTTTATTTTGTCATTCATTCTTTTGTATTTTTATCATTTTGTATTGTCCTAAGTTGTCAAAAATTGTATTTTTCTTAATAAAAGCTGTATATTGAATTTGTTTGGATGGATTGCCATTTTGTTGTCTATTAGATGTATATATGTAGTCGTTTAATAGCGATCTATTTGATGACTAGTCTATTCTTGGGCTATGGTTAGATGTCTATTAAATTTTCACTGACAGCCCAAATTCAGCCTTGTTTTAGCCTAGACGCATATTCACCTTCTATTAGACGTATATATGTAGTCGTTTAATATTGGTCTAATTGATGACTAGTCTATTCTTGGGCTATGGTTAGATGTCTATTAAATTTTCACTGACAGCCCAAATTCAGCCTTGTTTTAGCCTAGACGTCTGGGCTGTGTTGCTTTTAAACGCAAAATTGCTTGCTGGGATGCTACTTAACTATATATGTTATGAATAAACTCAACAGTTTGAACATTTACCTAATGTTTCTTCCTTGAGTTTATGTGTGCCGTTAAGCTTATTTGTTTCGATGTTTACACACAATGTAATAAAATCAGAATCAATGTCGCGTTTCATTGCTTCCCTAGTTTTTTTTTGTCACTAAAATTTTAATCAGGCTACTTATCCAGTCGGGCATGTAAAGCTGTCTTTCACTTGCCCTAAAAAATCCATGTCCCGGACAAGCTTAATGTCGAGCCCTGAATACAGTACAACTACAGTGGCAATAGACAGAATTTCTCATTTACATGTAGTTTCTTATTATAGTAAGACGTCGATATGGGACAGTTGAACACATATGAACAAATTAAATGTGACAAATTTTGCTGTTCATCAGTTATTTGATCGCAAAAAAAAGAAAACAATGGATCGCAATGACAGTTCGGACGCTGAGGAAATTTTAAATGTTTATTTACACTTATGACGGACCACATATACAATTATGAGACTGCCCAGCAAGCAATTTTGCGTTTAAAAGACGTCTATTAGACGCCTAAATATAGCCTAGACGTCTAGGTCAAAACGAGGCTAAATTTGGGCTGTCAGTGAAAATCTAATAGACGTCTAATCATAGCCCATGTATAGACTAGTCATCAAATAGACCGCTATTAAACAACTACATATATACATCTAATAGACAACAAAATGGCAATCCATACATACAGCTTTTATTAAGAAAAATAACATTTTTAACAACTTGGACAACTTAAGACAATACAAAATGATAAAAATACAAAA